ATCATCATAATCACCATCATCATTAATTAAGGGGGATTTCCACAAACATCTTTATGTCAACCAAGCGGGTGGTGGGCGTATACCCTGGTGCAACATCTCCATCTTTCCCATCAAACGTCTTTCGCCCTTATCTCTCCTCCTTTTTATGTCTGTTAGTCTCTTATAAAACCTTTAACCTTCGGTACTAATATGACCTTATTATCTTGCAAGTGCCGTAAAACTGTCAAAATTAAACACATGTCAAATAAACCCTTACCTCAAAGAGAGCCTTCTTTGCAATACAAAATGTCGCCAGTGAGACTAGTCACGTGAAGCTTGAATCAGGACATAAAATAAGTCACTGTCGCTCAAACACGTACCACTTGACCAATCTGTCATCACATTTCTGCATTTCTTTTTTTCCCCTTGGGTTGTGTTTTATAAACTGTTCCCGGTTATCGTACCGTTGAAATAGTGTCTCCTTTTTGTAAGATTTCAATGTTAAATATTCCGTTTTGAATTGTTCCTATTGTCACAAATTTGATGTACGTAGAATTGAGAAAGACGGCGTAATTCAGCAACCAAAATATCCCCTATTTTTAACACACGACACACACACGCACCGAAGGCACACTGACAGCAGCAATGGACAAACTGTGTTCGCCGTGTCAGGCGTCAAGTGCTCTATCGTGACGTCACTGAAACTCGTGAGTGTCTTCTCTTTCTTAGTAAAAGTATGTCAAGCACAGACACTGAGTCGTGCAGGCATTTTGCGAAAGGCAAAACCGTTATAGACTCGAATTATTAGATCTAAGATAATATTATATCCTTCATCGGGCACAGTCATGGCTGCCGATCTTTGCTCCCAACAAAAACTTCACTGTGCCGGTGCGCATTATAGGCGCTCAAATGAAGGGTGAAACACTAGTCCTGCTTTCGCTCTTGATGTGTGCAAGAACAGTTTTTTTTCTCCTTGCTCTTCATTTGGTTCTAAATTGAGTCAAGTGGTGATCTTCGTGATGAACAGGAACTACACCAAAAAGTACAGTTTGGGATATATTATAATAGCCTACGTGTACAAGTTCATTCACGTAAAATTAGGGAGCGATTGGGGAAATATTGTGGGTGGGAGAGGATTGTTCTTGTAACTTCTTAAGGATGGCTGCATTATATTATGTATTGGGTTATTTTTGGAAACGTATCTTATTGTATTACACGTTCTCATTGGTCGAACCAAGCCTTGGAGTCGGTTCCGCTGGTGTTATCTGCAAACTTACTACATTGTACAAAGATCTCCTTCTTACTGAGGGGGGGCAAGCATCAGCACATCGCCAAGGGTTGTTCGTCAAGTACAGAGACTTGATAGGACTAGATAATGCCCATGTCACAACTGACATTCGAATTAGGTTGCACGAGCAACTTGGGCAATCGGGGCAGTGGATCCTTCCTGTGTATAAATGTATTTCGTGGCATATTTTAGAGAAATCAAACAAAAAACAAAGCAACGACCCGCCCACCTCCCAAAAACAAAACAAAACAAAACGAGCAACGTGCATATTGGTGCCAGTGAATTGAGCACCGTACAAATATTTTGCTTGATTCGCTGCTGAAGTGGAAGGCTGGCAGAACGTCTCTGAATTTTGGCCACTGCAAGCAAGGGTCTAATCCTGGTGTTGAAACAATGGGACAGCAGGAAACTTATCACACAGGCAGCAATAGAGGACAAGTCTACAAAGTTGAGCATAGTAATGAGCCATTTCGTTAACTGTGAGCGCATGGGCCACTTGCCAGTCCATGTCATCGACACCCTGTTTTGTTATGTTGTAGGTAAGGTAAGCACTATGTCAAGCTTAGTCTTGGCACCGGAAACCTCTGGCTGACACGACTGCATTGTGCTCGGGAAATCACGTTCTTGATTATTGTTTTGAGGAGGGAAAAAGAGCTGCTTCTTGCCTGAAAAACCACTTTAGGGCTTTAGCAGGTGACGTTTTCATCTCCTTGAACTCTTTAGGTGGGAATCATTAAAATTTTGTGTTTGCTTCACTGTTCCGACAATGAAAACATCTTTCTTGCAAGAATTTGGCCAAATTTAAATAAGTGTAAAATTTATTACATTTGACACTGTGAAGATGTTGAGTACCTGTAAGACAAGTCACAATGTGAGAACAAAGAGCAACAGTTCGACGTCTGCATGTCTCTAAGGTAAGGAAGGCCTATCGGACAGAGGATAGTTTTGCCACGGAGCGCAGAAGGTTTTGATTCGATAATTCTTGGGGTGTTCTGAGGATGTACAGAAGAATTTATAGCGGTCTCGGAACACAAAACAAGTTGCTCGTCCACTGTGATGTCTTATACTGGAACAAAACCTTGGGCAGGTTATTCAGAAAATTCTTCCAGAGTTCACGACCTGGGGCGAAAACTCCCCTTGCCCGGCAAATAGATCATGTTGTTTTGTCACCAAAGTGCAAATCGTTCAGTGGGCTGCTTTAACCAAGATCCCCCTCTACGTGGGTGAAAAAAAAACTGCAAAGAAGAAATATTTTGACGCATGGCACCAATGTGCAATTACCAGCCAAGGAAAGCCTTCGTCTCTGCTGCTCCAACGTCTTTTCAGCTGGAGTAGTTTTATTTTTTCATCTGCCCTCTCTGTTTGTAGAAGGATCCACCGTATCCATCATTTTCTTCTTTTTGTCTAGAGAAAGGCATCTGCTGGTGACAGGACATGATAAGTAAATGGAGTACGATTTTTAGGCAGTTTCATGTTTTGTTTTTACTTCGGGATCGTGCCACGGGGAAAGGCTGAGAGTAAAGTACCCTGTAATGGGGTCTCTCAAGCAGTACTTCAATGTCAACTAACGTACAAGAGTTGTGTGTATTACTCCCATTCGCCAGAAATAAGGCTAGTCAATATTTTCCAGTATAATACAAATACGGGAGTGTTAATATAGGTTGTCGGGGAAAGGGTTAATATGCTTCTCTTCACTCAAAATAAAAGTCCCTTTTCATTATGATTTCCACTGTCATCATCAGTGTTTCATGCGTACAATGTAGTCTATTCTGATTTCCTTGTTTGTTTCGTCGTAGTTTATTTCAATGGTTGGTTTTGCTTTCGTTGTTTTGGGGGTTTTATTTAATGTTATAGGGGTCCTTATAAGCATTTTGCACTAGACACGAACACACCTTTTCGAAGACGCAGGATAGAGAAAGAACCCCCC